AAAAAAAAAAAAAAAAGTGACATCCAGAGAGGATGAGGCCCTTGCCTGGGTCTGCATAGCTGGTAAGTGGTAAAATGAGGAATTGAAACCAATGCTCTATGACTCAATACCCTTATGTAGGGAGAGGCCTGACGGTTCTTTCAGGAAAGGTTTATTGAGCTCCTGCCGCCAGTGATTCCAGCTGGTGGTACCATGAGACACAAGCCAGCGCTCATCTCTGACCTAGAACCTCTCCCTGCTCATTTCAGGGTGGGGTCTGTCTGCAGAGCTGCGAGGGACATGGGTATGTGCGTGCATACTTCCTTTGCTTGTGCAAACAGGCACACACCTGTGTTTGCCTGCACGAGACGGCAACCTGAGCGTGCTCTGAGCATACGCACAGTCTTGCAGAGGCGGCGGAGGAATGGGGGGCACTGGAGGCCGGAATGCCCAGCCCCGGCTTCTGGTGGGAAGACCTGGACTCAGGGTCGTGTGGCTAGGGCTGCTGGGACAGATGCACTGGTGACTTGCTGCTGCTCTGCACTCCCAGGAGGGTCATTCCTGCCCAAGGGAGGAACACTGCTCTTCCTCAGTCTGTCCAGTTCTGTGCCTCCTCGGCACCCCTTTTCTTTCCTCTCTTCTCCCTCCTCTTTCTGTTCATTTGCTGCTCTTCTCTTTGCAAAGGCAGGTGGCGGAGTAACCGAGAGCGTGAACCATGAGATCAGACAGGACCTGGGTTCAAATCCTCCTGTGTCCCTGCCCTCCTCCTGCCTCAGTGCCGTTCTGCGTGTCGATGGGTGGCACGGATGCTCCCGTCTCGGGGCCAGGCTCCGGAAGCAGAGCGCAAGCAGGGGTTTCTGGGGTGCTCTGGGAGGGCTTTCCAGGAAGGGGGCAGGTGGCCGCTTAGCTGCACAGCCTGTGTGGCAACACCACAGCCTCGGGGCACAAGCTGGTGACCGGAGCTGCATGGGGGTAGCAGCCCCTCCAGCTGGCACTGAGGCCCTTGGAACTGCAATATCTGTGTGCAGGAATTGTGCCAGGACGTCCGAGCCCAGCCGATGTTCACTTCCAGGGCAAGCAAGGGCTGCATCTGGGGACAGTGATATGATGGTTAGAAGGGGCCATATCCATGTTCCCAGAGAGACCAGGAGTCGGGGAGGGCTGAGCACATGCAGGACAGGACCTGGGTGGCAGTGTCTCTGACAGCTGTCTCGCCTTCCCCTTTCCAGGCTGTGTTCATGCCCTACGCACCAGAATTCGGGACCAAGTGCCAGGTGAAAGAATACTACGAGACTACGTCTGGGATGTGCTGCAGCTTGTGTCAGCCTGGTGAGGAGTGGGGGAGAGGCTGGTGCCCCCGAGCCTTTGCATATCCATCCTTCTGCCTGGCACATGCCTGGCTGCCGTTCCTGGTTAACTCTGAGGTGTCCTTTAGACCTCAGCTGAGCTGTCCCTTGCCCTGTGGCATCTGCTCCTTAGCAGAGCTCACAGACAAATGAACTGAGAGATATGCGCTGCTGGCTGTCAGGAAGTGCAGGGAAAGGAACAAGGAGAGGGGTTGATGGAGATCAAGGTAAGGGGCCTACTAAGTTATGGGGTCCAGGAAGGTCTCCCTGAGGAGGTGACACTGGCCAAGCCCTGCAGGAGGGGAGGGAGAGTGGTGAGGTTTTCAGAGTCCAGAAGACCCTGGAGCTTGGAGCCATTTGCTTGAGATGTAGGATGACCATGTGTTTTGCCTAAAGCCATTTTAAGAGACCCCGGGCAAAGGGACCTTGCTTCTATCAACTGTGCATTCAATATTAATCCCAGCCCTCTGGGAGGCTGAGGCAGGAGGATCCCAAGTTGGAGCCCAGCCTGGGCAACTTAGCAACTTAGTGAGATCCTATTTCAAAATCAAAATAATTCCTCAATTTAAAAATTCACTGAAGCCAGGCATGGCGGCACACGCCTGTGATCCCAGCACTTGGGAGGCTGAGGAAGGAGGATCATTGTGAGTTCAAGGCCAGCCTGAGTTACATAGGGAGTCCATGGCCAGCCTGAACTACACAGTGAGATCCTGTCTCAAAAAAAAGTTAAAATTATAAAAATCCACTAGATTAGTATAGCAGTGAATTTGGTAGGATGGGGACAGGAACAGACATCTTTAAGGTTTACCTTGGCATTCTGTCCTCTGCCATGCGTCTTTCTGGTCCTTCAGGAATCCCATGCCCTCATCCTGATACTGCAACTGTGTTCCTGATGCCACCTTCCCCTTCCTGTAGTTTTTACTCTTAGAAGCTGGCAAATCAGTTCTCACAAGCGTGTGATTGATAACTGTCCCAGTGGTGGAATTTCAGGCATCTGGAGATAGCAGAGGGGAAGATATTGTATAGGTAGAAAGGGTTCAGAGATGGAGTAATAGCTAGTTCCTGCCAGATAGGAGGTGAATGAATGAGGAAGTTACAGCTGGGATTCTGGGGAGCAGGGTATGAGCCTGAGGTCCTAGAAGAAGCCCTGCTCTGCTGAGACTTCTGGGCCTTGCTTCCTTAGGCCAGCATATGAAAGCCTTGTGCACCAAGACCTCAGACACTGTGTGTGCCCCTTGTGAAGACAACACATACACCCAGCTCTGGAACTGGCTCTACACGTGCTTGAGCTGCCGCTCCCCCTGCAGCTCCGGTGAGTGGAACTGGAGAGGGTGGCCCAGCATCTGCCCTGGCCGCCATGTGTCCAGTGTTCTCAGCTGGAGCAGATCTGTGCCCTCCCAGCCTCAGGCTGGAGGAGGCCGTGCCTTAGGGTCTAGCTAGGAGGGCGGAATGGGCGTGGCCAAGTAGGCGGGGGGGGTGCGACGGTCAGGTGGGCGTGGCCAGGGATGCCGAAGTGAGTGTGGCCGGGTAGGAGTGACCCTGGCTGCCCTCTCTTCCAGACCAGGTGGAGATTCAAGCGTGCACCCCGCAGCAGAACCGCATTTGCACCTGCAGGCCGGGCCAGTTCTGCATTCTGGGGAGTCCAGACAGCTGCCGGCAGTGCATACCTCTGCGCAAGTGTCCTCCCGGATTCGGCATGGTCAAGCCCGGTATGGGGACCCCGCGAATGTGTGGACCTCCTCGGCACAGCCAGTGGCGCCATCAGGGGGGCCCGGAAGCACCACTTTCCTTCACTCCTTGTTAGGCTCCTCTGTATACTAGGGCCTCAGGGCCCAGGGTTAAATTAACTAAGCCCTCAGGTCCTGGAGAATCAGATGCTGCAATAGATGAGCACGGTGCCATCACCTGTAGTCAATCCCAGCACTCTGGGAGGCTGAGGCAGGAGGAGCCCAAATTCAAACCTGGCCTGGACAACTTAGTGACTTAATGAGATCCTGTCGCAACGTAAAAAATAAAACGGTCTGCTGGGCGTGGTGCGCACGCCTGTAATCGCAAAACTCAGGAGGCTGTGGCAGGAGGATCGCTGTGGCAGGAGGATCGCTGTGAGTTCGAGACCAGCCTGGGCTAAATAGTGAGTTCCAGGTCAGTCTCAACTACATAGTGAGACCCTGCCTCAATAAAAACCCAATTA